TATTAGAGGACAGTGGAGGAGGTTCCCCTGGATGAGGGGCAGGACAGTGGCAGTGGGGAGAGGTTTTCTATACCCACATATGAATAGGGGTTGTAAAGGTTGGGAGCATAGTTGGGATGGACCGGAGGGTTTGCTCTGCTGGGTGAAAGTCACAGAAATGGAAGCGCTGTTTGGGGAGCCACTTAACCCCCCCATTTATTTTTCCTGCTATAGCAGTGGGAGAGGACATATATTCAAAGCAAACCTCCAATAATTCAATGCTATACCTAGGGATTTGTAATAAATTTACAAATTTTCCATATATTGAATCTAATTACTGGGGGGGATCTACTTATAATCAGGGTCATCTTATATTTGAGTAAACATGGTAATTTAAATGGAGCACACCCTTGGGTAGCCACACTTAATTTGATTTAATTTTGTCTCATAGCGATCTGTCTTAAATCAGCAATAAATTGACCTCTATCAAATCAATGTAAGCAAAGTTTAAATTGAAGTAATTGAGCACATAGGCCCCATCACACACAACTGATGCAGAAAACCTTTAGTTAAACTGGTCATGTTAAACGGGTGGCTGTGGAATGGACTTTTGACAATGTTAGCTTGCACTGTCTTGGCAAAGTAAGGAAATCCAAGGAAATGAAGTGATAATAAATCAAGCATTCCATATGGTACAGGCCTCTTGGTGAGCCAAAAAACTATGACTGAACTGCTTGGTTGAGTAAGGATAGGCTACTAATCTGGGACTTGTGACCTAGGATTTATCCCCAACTTTGCCAAAGGCTGATGTAGCAACTTTTGCTAAGTCACTTCATTTGCTTGCAGCTCCATTTCCCCATCTGTAAAACAAGGTTTATGTAGTTTTTCCATTGTTAAAGTCCTATTGCTGGTAATGAAACAGATGATCTCCAGACTGAGGCACTAGCTAATATGTCTCTCTAAACTCTCTTCCAAGGGAGGGTGAAACAAATGGGCCTTTCAGAGAGGACGCCCTAGAGATTCACAACCCGAGTTACTTTAGACCTGTGGCGGAACATTCTTTAGTCCTGAAGGGGAATGTTCTACTCTCAGCCGACTCCTCTCCATTGATGGGAATCTGGTATTAGAATGTGCTGTGATCATAATTGCAATGGGGGAACGATGGGAAAAGGCCATTTAGACTTTTATTGATGAAGACTCGCACTTCAAAATCTCTTTACTTTTTATTTACATTAGCTCCAGTCCTTATGACTTTTGCAGTGGTGTTCAACCTCTCCCTCGCATCTGATGTAAACTGGGTGCTACCTGAGATGACTAGTGTTTTCTAGTTCTTAATATTTGTAGTACATTTTCATTGAAATGTTTCATTTTTCCTATTCTAAAAATAGAGATCAGAGGGAGAGAGAAGAAGCTGAACGTGAAGGAAGAATTATAACTGATGAGGCAGAGCATGAGCCAGTTTTGGGCAACCCTTTCCTTCCTGTATCTGCTATATTCACAGAGGTATGAGAGTGTAGAGGAATAGCAATCACAATAGACTTGCAGTCAGTAAACATCAGAATGGTGATATTTATTTATAGCCTATACATTTGCATATATACCTTTTGCTATTTTTATGTCCTGGCAATCTAGTGTTGTGTGTGGTGAAGCTGTACCAACATTAACATTTTAATGTTAAGGATGTTCATCGGTATCTATTTAAAGAGAAATCTTGTTATGATAAAAAAGTTTATTTTGAAACATTTACTGTGGGATTATATGAATAAACAGTTGCCTTGCTCAAGAAAGAGTAGATATTTTTATGAGCTGGTTAAATTATGATCAGTTATGTTACTTTTTTTCTTCTTTGTGTAACAGTATAGTCTTGTAGCATAATACAGTATTTTTCAGTTGTTGTGGAGCAGTTGAAATGGTCTGTTAGTTGTGAAACTTGAAAAGTCTATGCATATATGTATTATTTTTTTAGACATCTTTTTTTCATTTCCAGTAATCTTCAGCTTCATGTTTACTGTACCATATTTTTCGTTCAGGGGTCTTTAGACAGGCATACATAAGAAAATTTGAAATTTGTGAGCCTCCCTAAATAAATAATTCAAGTCTTACTCCTTTTCTCCAATACAAGTGTCCACACTGGAATCAATTACATGCACAATACTAGATTTTGCAAGATCATACAATATTGCACAGCTGAGTATATCAGTTATGACTTGCAGATCTGTCAATTGTGTGTAATGGAAGAGAGATTCTAGTAATTTGTATTACATGATCAGAATTCTGCTAAAGCAAAATCCTGACCCTGTGGATACATTTATAAATGTGGGTTTTCGCCAAACTAAAAATGAAGTGATTTAAAAGGAAGGATTAGAAATTTGTAATCTCCTCTTACTAAGTGGTACCAATCTTGTATGCACTTTCTTGACATGACATGACTTCCTTGCATGGCATTGTTAAAAAAGAATGCAGAACACTTAGACTGTAAGGCTGTGTGCAGCCAGACTTCTCTAAATCATCAACTCCAAATCTAAAAATCATTTCTTCAGCATCCTGTTTCTTCTAAGCTAAATCTTAAATTTGTGAATCTTAGGGCATGATTCCCTGAAAACTCTTTAAATAACCTGTGTGACCTTTCAGAAATGTTCTTAAAGAATCTTTCTTCACTTGCGTTTTAGAATGTTCTTTCCATAATTTTGAGCAGGCCTTTTGTATTTAGATGTTGTTTTGATACTTTCTTAGAATGAAAAGCAGACTGCACAAGAGAAGAAGAGGCAAAGGAAGGACAGTGAAAAGGGTGATATTACCTTGAAATCTAAACCCGAGCAGGAGCAAATGGACACACACCGCCCAACCAGCAGCAGTAGCCAAAAAACAAATGATTGTAAACTGATAGAAACATACAAATCTGCACTAGCACAGCAGCTGGAGCATGAAGAAGAGAGTGACCAGCAAACCTCTGAAAACCTTGACTCAGGTGACAGCTCCCTTTTGAATCCCACTTTGTTGTTTACTCATACTTTTACACAGCTTTTCCCTGTATCCATCCTACTTCTTTGTGCCACATGCTGATTAACATAATTGAAGCATGCTATTGTACAGCTGGGTTAATGTACTGAGAAATGCCATACTTCAACCAAGAACTAGCTTGCCAATTTTTCAGTGCTCTTGTACATATGGCCCAAGTTCCAATGATATCTATAAATTTTGAACTCCCTTAATCTAAGGGCAGAAGCTGAAACTGAAGTGTAAGCATACGATTATAATAAAATGATTATATAACAATGTAAAATTAAAGTTATGTAGGTGCTGTGTTGTGTTAGGACCATTATTCTGTACATCTAAATATAAATTAGAGACACCATGTTCTACTTACTAGAGACTGAAAAGGCGTTAGGCACCTAAGTACAATTCTACTCTGCAATGTTCCAGCCCTGAAAATCCATTAATGCTTCTACTTTTATAATACATCTTCATCTTACCCTTAATATTGAATCTCAAAAAACAGTGAGGAGGACCTACCTACCACCTACCTTCTGTAATAATAGTTTTTCAAGGACTCTAGCACAGTGGTATAGAATTACAAGTAGGTGTCCAAGTTGGCTTACATACCTAACAGATGAAATAGAATCTGACTGTCAGTGCATCCCATTCCAGCAGCTACAATAATCTAAAAATATGTCTGTATTTGTGGAGTTCATTAATGTACGTATATGGTACATGGTCTGGTCTGGTCTGTTCTGTTTGGCTTAGATAACAGTAAAAAGAAAAAGAAACTAAAGTTGAAAAGGAATCACAAGGTGGAACCAGTTAATATTGAGGATACTGCTCCCAAGAATCCAACCCCACCTCCACCTCTACCACCAGGTAATTAAAACAGTCTTTAATAACTGGTGTCTTGGTTTGTGTAACTTTGACTCTTAAACCACTTGCTTTCTAAAAATGCAAAGAGGACTAGCTTTTGCACAGTTCTAAACCACTATAGTTTATTCTCCCTTGAGGACTACCCATGAGGATCCTCACTTGTATGATGCATACACACCATCTCAGCAATATCTGTGCCAGGTGGCTTCCCATAAATATACTAGAGAGAGAATTTGAAGAGTGCAGTTGTTCAGTTTCTGTTTAGGCTTTGTCTACATGAGAAAATTGACTGGCATAGCATAGAAGGATGATTATATCTCTGTAGGTGGGATATTATAATTCCCTCATAGACACACTAGAGTAAAAGCAAATATATTCTGGGGTAAATGGGTAAATGCATGTGTTGATATAACATTTTAAAAGGATTTACTATGAAGTGCAGCCGGCCTTCCTTTTGTGATTTGTTGATGTTGTCTCATTGTGAGTTTCTTTGGTAGGAACAGCTGGAGAGAAACAGCTTCTTTCTAGTAGACCAAAAGATCAAGTGATCTCCTTCCAAGAAAGCTTAAATGTGATGAGTTAAAAAGACTTAATATAAAAACAGTCTGAACCCCCCCCCCCAAAAAACAACGAAACCAAAAAAACCCCCCAAAAACCCTGCATCATTTGCACTCATCACAGACCATGAAAATTTAAGTACCTTGTAACTTGAACATTACTTCTGGCAGAAAAAAATGCTAATATTTACAACAGTTGATAAACATGGACAGAAAGATTTCAGCTTATTTAGAAATCTTATCTCACAGATACTTGTCATGATTCTCAAGATGATCTGCTTGCCCTCATCTACATCAAATAGTGTTTTTCAGGCCCTCTAATTGGCTTCACCTGTCTAATCTTGGTATTTGCTGATAGAATCTTTTGGAAATCTGTATGGGACATGATAATATTAGGTTGTACATATGAGGCTGGGAAAACAAGGAAGATGTTTTCTTAGTTTCTCATCAAAAGAGCATGACAGTTCAATAAATACTGCTCTCCAGAATAGTAAGGTGCTTTTCATCACTGTTTACCACTAAATTTTAAATGCCTTGTTTTAAATGGATTCACCAGCACAGTACATATGAATATATGAAGTATTTTTCCTTCTTTAGATGCTTTCATATTTCCTAAGAAGACAGGTGGGCATACTGGCACTGCTTTGAAGCCAGATATTTTGACAGTAGTGATGTTTTTGAATATGTTTATTTTTTTCTTTAGTTGGCTGGGGAACCCCCAAAGTTAATAGACTTCGAAAACTAGAACCTCTTGGTGAAACCCGTCGTACTGGTAATTTTTTTTTTTTTTAAAAGCATTATTTGTTCATTCTCTCCTACATTCATTCCATTCCATACCTTTTTCTTTCTTTCATAGCCGCAGACATAAAACTAACACTTTGCATGTTAAAAGCACCTTTTTGATTTTTTCAAATTCTTCTTCTGTTTTATCTTAAGGGAAAACGAATATATTCTTGCTTTCTTTACTTCCCTTTTATCAAAACAAACAGGAGGTGTCTTGCCTTTTTCTTAGTATTTGGAAGGTGTTTGCACACACCTGTTACAGTGTGCCATATAATACTTCAGTAACAGGGACAGTACTTTAGTGATAAAATCCAAGTCTTTTATTTTGGTTCAGAGTGACATTTTTAAAACTTAAACCCTGAAAGATTTGTTTTTGATACATGCTGGTATTCCAGTTTGATCCCAGCACTGGGGGAGGTCTTCATGGGGCATGTGGTTTTTTTCTTTGTTGGTAATTTTCAAATTCTAAAAATTAAAATTGGATACAAGTCAGATGAGACTTAAACAAATATGTTCTTTCCAGAAAATATAAGATATGGTAAGAGATGCAATCTGTAATTTATATTATAGTGAATCTTAATTGTGAAACCATCTTACTCTTCTTTTAAGGAGTATAGAGAGAAGAAGGCAAGAAAGAAAAAGCAGAAAAAGAGGTAGGGAGGCAAGGGGAAGGGAAGGGGCTTTATTCTTTACTTCCATTGATTTATTTCATCAGTGAGGCGGCCTGTGTTGTAGCTACAGAACAGATGGAACTGAGATAAAAGATATAAGTTCTTTTCCCAGTTCCGCCATGATTGTGTACAGCCTTGGATAAGTCATCTAAAGTGTCCATTTCCCAGTTTCCCCATCTGTATAATGAGTATAGTAATTATATTTTGAGATGTGGGATATAAGTAGTACTAATGTTCTTCTTTGAGTGTGTATTCTAATCCAGGCATTCATGGGGCTGAGAAGGTTTTTTGAATGGTGGCATCTTTCTGGACTGCATGTGCCTCATTGGGTTCCCATGTGAGGTCATGCAGAGCAGGGAGGCAAAGATGCACCCATGGTTCCCTCTTCTCAGCAACTGTTTCATTCATAGTGCCTTTTCTGGATTTAAACGCCATCTAACCTACAACCGAATCACCCCCCTGGCGATCACCCTGATAGGCTCTAAGATGTTTCATAGAGAAGATAAGTACCATGCATTGCTCTGGAGGAAAATAAATTACATGTCCTAATAAATCCAGTATTGAACTATTATTACATGGCCAGGATTAAGTCATACAGACTGATCTCCAGTGTATTTCTGACTACACCTGGGCATTCTAAAAGGGAAGCATGAGCTCTAAAAGCATCACAGATGACACTGAAATGTGTTATCAGCTCAATAGCATAACTCTCACTAAGGCTTATTCTACCAGAGCACAAGCAACATCCTGCTTCCTTCTTCGGGAATATTCCATTGTATCGGTTGGCAAGGCTGGCTGTACAGTAGAGCTAATTTACTGCTGTTTTTTTAGATTAAGAGGTGCAGTCACATGCCAAGTTTAGAAGAGCTGTACTTTAGTTGGTGTTTGATTGGTACGGTGAAACTTTTTTTTTTTTTTTACCACTTCTGTTGGAAGGGTGTACTGGTTGCCAGTCCTGTGTAGTGGGATTAGCACTTGCACACACTCAAGAAAGAAAGAATTGAATAGGAAGGTTACTTTACCCTTCAGAAACAGGGCAGTTCTTTGAGTTGTTCTGATCAGGATAGGTTCTTCAACAGGGACCCTGTCACTATTCAGCTAACAAGACTTCAGATTGAGTAATCTTTAGCAGACCACCTACTAAACTTGTGCACAGTGGCTACTTTCTGAAGTGTTTTGTTTCCCTGTCACAGTCAAAACGTGCTGACAGAGAAAAATTGAAAGGATATTTTAGCTCTATTGACAAACTGAAAGTGACCAACCTCTTTACAAAAGTGAATTCTGTAGCATTAGTACATTTATGTTGATAAAATACCATAATAGTAGATGTTCTTTCAGTATTCCCATTCACTTTTCTTGGAGTTTTTATGTAGAACACAACAATTCCTTGAATTATTTTTCTGTCTTTTTTTTTAATGTTTGGAATTTTTACAAGTGTAGTTGAAGTACAGTACTGTGCTGGTATATAATGATAGAAATATCAGAGTAATTTGCAGTAAAAGAAACTCGCAGGTCTCTGGTTGTAATGCAGCTTTAGTGTTATCAGAGACATATTATTTTTCCTTAAAGCTCATTTTAAAATTCATATTCAGTTAATGCGAATGTTAACCATCAGGATGTTTTTATCTTACCATTTTTGCATGGTTCAGAATGGAGAGTTTTTTGTGCTAGATGTTTAGGCTGAACTAATAGGCAATCTGCCAACGATATAGAACTTTAATTATACAATTATTGAAATTAAAGATTGTACTTTTGCCAGCAATGCAAGTAGCTCTAGCATAAGACTTAAAAATGAGTGTCGCTTATATCTACTGAAGAATATACTTGCAAGGTTGTATAAATTTCTTCAGGCACAGGGGCTAAAGTTTCCTTTGCAGCTGCATGCTTTTGAAATTCTTTTATAGTTACCTGGATTATAACTGCAATATCTTAAGGTATGGGGACACATAACACACAGGCCAGATTAAATGTGGTTTTAACCTGAAATGGACAGATGTAAAAGAGCATTAAACTTGTTTTCAAGCCATCTGCAACACTTCATAAGTGTACTTGGAAAATCAGGTACTCTACTGAACTGGTTCAGTGTTATGTGTGGACACCAAGTGTTCCTTGATACAGGTTTGGCAAACCACACTGCATCCCTCCTTACCCCTCCAGCTGCTGCAACTGGCCTGTTTGGTACGTAGCCAGAGCTCCACTCACTGTTCCTTTTCTTTTTTTTTTTCCATTTGCACTTTTCATAGATGAGCTTCCTTGTGCTGCTTGTTTAGTAAAAGCTCTATCTACCAACCATCTGTGTCTTCACTGCCTACTTGATTACAGCCCCTCATCATGCCGCCCTCATCTCCAGAAACCGGAAGGCATGAGTCCAAACACTCCTCCCCCAGCCATCCCAAAGCAGGCAAGCACACTGCAGACTTCAGTCAAGTGCAGGCTATTGAAATTTATTTAACTCATGTTTAGGAGAGAAGGGCAGGCAGAAAAGTGCAGACATCCCCAGGCTCAGGTCATCCAGTCCCTGAGGTCCCCAAATTATGGATGCAACCACCTCATTCCCCCAACCCACCCAGTTTGGGGCATGCTGGGTTGTTATCCCTCCCTTCCCCTGTTGTTGGAGCCACAGCACTTCAACACCTAAAACAGTGGTCACCACCAGTGGATCAAGATCCATTGGTAGATCTCAGAGCCTCTTGGAGTCAGTCCGAGGCTGGGGAGGGGGGCTGAGTGCTCATGTGCATGCACAGGCACGCCCCTGGCCAGCTGGTCAGTCTGTGGAGGAGGGAAGGATTGGGGGCTAGACTGACGTCCCCGCACTGACGGACAGTATGGTAGAGGCAAAAGCAGGGGTAAGTAGAGTGGGGCCTCCTCCGGGTGGGACTTACCTACTGGGGAGGCATGCCCCCAAGTAATTTTTTATCCCTCTGCCTTGATCTGCCACCCTTTTCCCTCCCCACAGATTTACCTGCTAGGTGGTGATAGTGGTGGGGGGTAGCGGCAGTGGCACATGGTAGATTTTGGGTTGCTTTTAAATGCCAAAGGTGATCTCCTACTTAAAGGTTGGAGACCACTGGCCTAAAAGGTAACAGCTCTACCTGGAACACCTTGAGCATTGTGCATGTGGACACTTGTGACCTGATTACCCATCAGTGATACTTGGGAACAGTTCAGTTCTGCGTGTCTGTACCCTCTGAAGTTTTCATTTACCCTATTATAATTAACAGTGGTTCTGTCAGCATTATGGGCTTGCTTCTCTTTCTCATGTTTCTATACAACTGGAGTAGCTCCACTGAAACCAATGAATTTACACCAGTGTAAAACTTACTTCAGTATTTGTGTGGGGTTTCCCACCCTCCCCAAAAGCACTACATAGCCACAAAGCATAAAATTAAGGTCTTATTCTGAAAAACATGTATTACATAACTTAAAGAAAAGCCTAATCAATATTAATTCACTTGCTGTTGTCAGTTGTTGATTGTGATCACTACTTTAAAAGAAACCGTTACATCTAGAGATGAAAAAAATATGAAATGCAGTATATTTACTGTGTCCTTTGGACAGCTGTGATAAAATCTTGTGGCAGGCTATAATGTATTTAAGACTTTTTAAATGTAAGTGGCATAAACAAGAAAACTGCATTTAAGGCAAAGGATTCAAAAAGTTGCTTGTACATTTTTTTTTCTGTCTGTCCTGTTACCAACCATGTTTGACATTTTTGTTTTGTTTGTGAAGTGTTTTGCATGTGTCAGTCTGTATGCAACCTTGTATTAATAACAAGTGTTTGTCTAAGGATACCTTTTCTCTTTTCTGGCATGCTTGCTACCTTGGTTTTGGAAATGCAATTTTTCTACCTCAAACTCTGTTGTCAAGAGCAGGCATATTTTATTACTGGATAAAAATAATTAACATATCCCATTCAGAGGGCTAGCATGGTTTTTGTGAGAACTGAAATACAGGTGGTCTTAGACTCCTGGAAACTTCTTGGACTTAAAGGCCCACAACAGTAAACTTATTCTTATCTATTTATGTTTGCTTGTGTAACTCACTGCTGTTTCTTAGTGAGCCGTTTGTACATATAGGAGCAATGCAGTCTTTACCACAGTATCCGTTCTAAATTTGGCTACTTCTCTAATCAGATTACGAACACATTCTGAGTGTCCCGTTATCAATTTGTAAGCCCACGTCTTGCTAGATGCAATATTTAATAACAAGAGTAGCCTAGCTTTGGGTCAACAGAACTGCTCCTTACTTAGAATTATATCCTGCTTACAGGATTTCACCCTAAAACTAGTCTGTCTGGCTTTTGTAAGGAGAGTAGGAATTTAGTCAGTGGAATCCAGCTTAAAGAAGAAAGAGGTACATTAAACAGATGCAATAAATTCTATACTAACATGTTTTTCTTCTCTAATGTTTCTTAAACAGATTTTTATGGGAAGCCTCTACCCCCACTGACTATACGGCAAAGACCCAACAGTGATGCCCATGATGTCATTACTTAATCGGATCACGTGCAGCATTTTAAAAGCATAATTCTAAAATTATAATATAAGTAATTCTCCTGCTAGAAGAAAAATTGGATGTTGTTTAACAAGTTGCAGTGAGATGAGACCATAAAATTCCAAGGAGATTTCAGCTGCGAGTTAATTCTACCAGACTTAATTGACCAGAACCTCTACTTGACATATCAGTTACTGTTCACATTCTCACCAGCTTTTCTTCAGGGGTTAACATGGAGACAGATGACAGATATTTTGAGAAACTTTGCATGCATAAAGCATTTGGGACCAGTTTGGTACTCTTGAGCCTATTTGCCAGAATAGGCAACCTTTGAAGAAAAATACCTTGTAGACTAAATGCAGTTGAATTACATGTGTACATCAAGACCATTCTTCAGATGCTGTGTAGTAATCAGTATTTTTACAGCTGATAATTTTAAAGCATTTTGTAAGATGCATGTATGTTAGGGTGGATATGGGGAAGACCTATACAATAAATATTAACTATATTTTTATATTTTTTTTATATTTCATTTTGGAATTTGAGTCAACATGAATGCCTGTTACTTACCATCACACTGGTGTCTAGAAAGTTTTGGAAATGTGATAGCTGTATATGGAGGATATGCTTTACTCTTATATCTACCTTGAGATAGCAATACATTTTGCTTGGGTTTTATATCACTAGCCCTAAATACTCATGTATTGTCCTTCTGGCAGTCTACAAGGTTTTTAAGATTAATGGGTTTTATCCAGAATTATGTTATGAATGAATTTGTTTAAAAGTTTTGTTACTGATTTGTTTTCCATAGTTTTGCTATATGAGTTTGGTACACAGAGTAAATCTGATTTAAAAACTCTTACCTGAATATTTTATTCTCTGCTATAAAACATTAGAAGATTGTACACTGTAGAACTTCTTTGCACTATTTTGCACTGAGAATCCTGGTGGAATCTTTTACCACGTGTATATTCAATAAGCTTTATTTAGAAAACACTGAAATACTATTTGGGGAAAAGTTGGAGCAGAGATTTTTGAGCCATCATAATGGGTCTAGTACATTTTTCCAAATAATGTATCCCTTGCATAATAAAGTAGTTATGTGTAAACCCTGAATGATAGAGTTGGTTTTACTGTGGTTCCTATAGTTGGTGTAAGCTTGTGGTCTGATGGAGGGGGGAGCATGTGGAGGGGAGTCATTGCTATCCATTTGAGTAATTTTACCACTTAGCTGCTGTTGACTGAAGAACCTTGCTATATAGTACAATGCTATAGTAAGTTTGAATGTGCTTGTGCAATGGGAGTACAGGTCGTAAATTAAAGGATTTTGGTGGCTTCTCTGTTGGACTGCCAGTTTTCCATTATGTATATTAGCAAAAAAAAAAATAGTAGTCAGTACAAATGAAGTGAAAATATTTATCAGCTATTTAAAATTTTGGAAGTATTGTGTTTTGTTTTAGCCAAAGGATTGTGTTAAAGTTAATGGGAGTAATGCTCTCTTAGCACCTCAAGCAGGACTTTTTTTATGTTTTTGAAATATTGTATTTCAATGAAGACAATTGCTAACATTGAAAAATAACACTGGAAAGGGACAATATTCAAATTCACTGAGTTACTGTAAGTATGAAAGAGTGTGAATGTGACTGGGAGTAATACACGTATGCTTCTCTGGTGTTCTAATTCAGTGACAGAGTTCTGTTTGGGTAAATATTACTTTGGCTTCATTTTGCTCACTTGCAATAAACAGGTCTTAATATTTAGAAATTGCTTAAAAGTTTACATAAAGACGATTGTACTATATTTAGCTATGTGATAATACATATGTAGTTGGCTGAGAGGGGCATCTATTGCGTGTTTTCCATTCTTCTGTCTTTTCAGCTTTCTCTCATCTTTTAGAAATTCTTCTTTTTACCCTTATGAAAGAGTAATTGAATTCCTGACAGCTCTTTTCAAATAAAACCAAAAACAAAAGTTTTAAGGAACTTTAACCAAAGAGAAAGTTGGTATGGTAACTAACTTGGAGCAACTTAAACTGAAAATGCTAATATTTTTTCATAATTTTTTTCAGCTGTTATTGATAAATTTATATTGATATGAGACCAAAGTGCTGGAAATATTTTTTCATAAAGTTTTGTATATGAAAATGTACTGTAAGTTATATATCACATTGTTCTCTTTCTTACTTTATATTGCACAGGCTTTCTATTTGCTGGGAATCATATTTATGTATAGAATAAAACCAATGTATAGAATCAGCGTGTTTTCATTATAGTATCCAATATACTTTTCTTCAGATGTAAATACAGTAAAACCTCACAAATTCTTGGCCATGATTGAACCTGACTACTACAGCTGAATATTATGAATCAAAGAGGAAAAAAAGCAAATAAAAAAAAATTATTTTGATAATTGGAGTTTTAGCTTTACTATTTCATGTAATACTGGTACATCCCAGATTACTATGTGAAAATACACTTTTTTCAATGATATGATAAAAAGCTTTCCTTTTGTACTTAATCTTAGAGAAGTGAGGCAATGCTGCCAGTTTTCACTGGGTTATAATCTGTGCAAATTGGAGGCTGTACTAATATATATATCAGTATCTATACTTGGCGTTTTGTATTTGAACCATATGCATTTATTCAACTGTTAAGACTACTTGCACTTAAATGCATGAATGATGCACACTTGAAAATGTCCTGTTGGAGAAAGGAGACGGATAAGACCTACTGTCTATACAACATTTTTAACTTTGTTATGGAAAAAGAAATTATTTTATGGAAAAAGAAAGTATTTTAAAGGTAAGTGAACTAAAGCCATTTGAATGCTTCAGAGACACAGGAATAGTATGGGTGAATGTGCTGGATTCATATTTTTTTTAATGTTTCAGAAATACAATATATTCTCATTCTGCTTTTTTTCCCCCCTTTGCCCAAATAAAGGACCAGCAAATGGTGAAGGAAGTTTACTGAAATACTGAACATTTCTTTAACAGAAATAATACTTTGAATATTGTATTGTAACAATTTTATTAATAGAAGACATTAATTTAACAAAAATCATTTTTGGTGATGCATTTCTCATGTAAATACATCAGTAAAAGTGAGGAGCTCCCTAATTTATGTGAGACTTTGAGAAATACTCTGCAATAAGCTGCAAAAATAGTAAGACAACTGGCATGAGGTTACTTAGGGTTATCATAGGTTAAAAAGAACAGAACAGTGTGAAGAAACCTTGTGCTGTTTTTCTTCTCTCTCTGTCCATCACAAACCTGTATATTCTGACTGCATTGCTTCTGGGCATAGTGGTGCCACTTAGACAACCTTGCTGGATTGCATTTGAGAATATCCTTGGGTTTCTTTTACCAGTAGCCCTGATGGGCATTTTTTTGCTGTCACTGGAAAATTTGAATATTTTAATTTAAAAGTTCCATATGGTAACTGCAGGGCACTGATTTCACAATAGCCATCTTCTTGACTGCCAGCTTTGTAGTTAATTCAGCTTAGGGTGCTTTATTACCTCAAACAAGAAACACCTTTGGGTTATTTCAGTAGCAACTCTCTGTAATATGATTTCTGAGTTTTAGAAGTGAATTAAAAAAAAACTAATAAAAATTTACCTTGGGACAGAGGAACGTTCAAGATCTTTCTCTGTAGTTTGGGCCCTCTCTGCTCTCTTGCTTAAGGACTGCTCTGACAATTGCTGGGGGGTAAAAAAGTCAATGTTCCACAGCAGACTGATTAAGAGAAGGTGCTGTGCAAGGAAAGAGTCTGTCCTACCTGCTTCCTTGTGAGTATGGGGTTCACTTCACTTCAGTGTACTTGATTTTTGCATACATACTCAGAGGAAAGACTGAATATGACTGCTTTTCAGAAATGAAGTGACACACTCCAGGTCATAATAAGCTGAGAAACTGCAGAGGGATAAGGGTTATAAAAGCTCTCAATATTGAGGGCCTGATCACAATGTAGTCAGTGGGAGTCTTTAATATGAGCTAGGATTAGGCAAACAAGTCATTTAAAAAAAAATCCAAACTCTCAGAAAAGGGAATCTAGACATTCACCTAGAACCTTTTAAAAAAATGAATAGTGGTAATGACATCTAATGCAATGAAGAGTGTTTTGTGCTCTGAATTGCTAATGTAAGCATCTGTTTTTCAGCTTGGTATTTATTGTCTTTAGAAAGTGTTGAGTACCTTACCTATCACACTGGCTAATTTACCTCTACTCTTACATTAATTAAGTTAATGTTTAGAACCAGATTATTCATTCTTGTGTGACTAGCTGAACAGTTTCTCATGCCAGAAAGTAATATGGTAATAAGGAGAAAAGCAGGTGCCAAAGTCCTGACTACTAATCTTTGGTTTACAAGTCCATTTCAGAATTGTCTGATTCTCCAGAATGTAGAAGGCATTGCAAGCTTTTCTAAAACGATTATCTAGTTAAACCATCCACAGGTATTCTTTATGTACAGTAGTACACTCTACCTTAAAATGTATCTATCCCTGAGAAATGCCATTTTGAAGTTATAAGTTCCCTATCATGTGTTCTGTCAGGACAGCAGCGATTTCAGATGACAGAATAAGAAGCAATGGTTTCCAGTTGCAGCAAGGGATGTTTAGGTTAGATATTAGGAAAAATTTTCTCACCAGGAGGGTAGTAAAACACTGGAACAGGCTACCCAGGGCGGTGGTGGAAGCTCTATCCTTGGGGGTTTTCCAAACCTGGCTAGATAAAGCTTTGGCTGGGATGATCTAGTTGGGGCTGGTCCTGCTTTGAGCAGGGGTAGAACTAGATGACCACCTGTGGTCCCTTCAATCCCAAACTTTCTATGATTTTATGATTTACATAATCTTGCAGTTTTCTTTTGGGCAGCATTTTACCAGTGCTTTTAAAGTTGCTTTCCAGTGCAATCTGAATAAATTGGGTAGTAGGCAGATTTCTAGGAATATATGCCAAGTTATGTGCAAAAAAGACATGTTGGAACCCATTCCCCATACATAGCACAGACCAATTGCTATCAATGTCACAACAGCCATAACTCCAGATATGGTACCCATGCATAGAAACTTAAATTTTAAGATGGCAGACTGGAGAGGCTTTTCTGAAGACCTTGACTACAGTAATGCACGTGGAACCAGTCTTGGATAACTATGACTTCTTGGTGAATGTACTACGCAAAACTCCCAAGGGTCATCTATCTCCAGGATGCAGATCTGAGTATATACCAGGGTTTACTCCCATGCTAGCAACCAAATACAAAAAATACCAGATGTTTCAAAGAAATCCTCTCTCAGAAGACGCTGTTGCAGCAGGAACAGCCCTAACTAACACTCTCCAAGAAGAAAGGCAGTGGAAATGGAAATAATTGATCAAAGGAATAGATATGACCCACACTAGCAGGAAAGCATGGTTAACCATTTGCAGGCTGAGTAATGACCTGAAGACAGTACAGCAATAGCAATACCACAACAGGTGGCTCACCAGCTTCTACGCAACGGTCGAGCTTCAAACAAACAAGCTAAAATACAGATTAGATGGCAAACTGATGTGGAGGAAAATCCATTTATCAGTCCATACACAATAGATTAACTTGATGATGGAATAAGTCATTTGAAGAGCAGCAAAGCAGCTGGACTCAATGACATATACATGAAGCAGATCAAGCACTTTGATCCTGCAACCAAAGTGTGGTGTAGGTATGAAATCTTTTTAACACCTGCTTGTCAACTCTAAGAAAACCTAAGCTACAGCAACAAGCCCATGTAAAGTCTGGGAAGGATGTTTCTGGCCCAGAGGACTTTAGGCCAGTGTCATGTCTCTGCTATCTTTATAAGCTTTACAAACACCTCATTCTCAATCGTGTTGCACCTCACATCGAACAACAAGCCAGACTTAGATCAGGCAAGTCCTGCGTGGGCCAAATACCACCCAGCATATAGAAGATGGATTTGAAGAGGGATGATGAGACTTATTAGTAGACTTATCAGCGGTATACAATAGTCAGCCATCAAAACCTGCTTTCCAAAGTCAACGATATGATGCACAGCTACCACCTAGTGCAGCTCATCTAATCTATTTTTGGCAAATGGACATTTTTATGTAGCACTGTGCAAGAAGTGGAGCTGCTAGAGATGACAATGAAATGGCCTCCCACAGGGTAGCATGCTAGCACTAATCCTTTTTAACATACAATGACCAACCCGTACAGAGTAGTATAAAGTGCTTTATATATGCTGATGGTCTATGCATCATGTCACAAGAGAAGGACTTCATCGCTGATGAGAACAGACTAACATGCACTGAGCAACCACTCAGATTACTGCAATAAAGACCCAGCTTCACGCTAAAACAACCTAGGCCCAAATCACAGCTTTTTTACCTATGCCGTAGAGAATCCAAGCAAAAATTAAACATCACATGGAATGGATTCACACTGACTAATCACCTGAACCCTGTGAAGTTGTGGGTTACATTGGACCTAACACTTAACTTCAAAACGTGTAGAGAAGAGGAATAGGAAAGTCAGTGCACACAAAATACTTCAAAAGTTGGTCACTTCAAAGTGGAGAGCAAGCCGAGCTACGTTATGAACCGGTGCTATTGCCTTGTGTTACTCCACTGCAAAGTATACATGTGTAGAATGGGAACGATCAGTTGATGCCAAGAAACTAGACCCAGTTCTAAATGACAGTTGTGTAATAACAGGATATCTAAAGCCAACACTAAAGGATAACCTGTACTTACTGGCTGGTATTGCGTCTGCTGATGACCATCAGAAGAAAGGTAGCAAGCCAAAAAGAAAGATCAAGACAGATGGAAGACCCTAGACATCTACTTTGTGGTCCTACGGAAGTAACCACATGGCTTAAAGTGCATAAGAGTTTTGACCAGTGTTGTAACCTTGCATATGGCTGACAGGGCACAACTGCAGTTACGGAAAGAGAGATTACATGCAAGCATGTACTATGAAATGGACCTGGAACCTGGAGAGGGCCTTCCCAGAGGGGCTGCAACTGGTCAACATGGTGATCCCTGAATCACCTGCACATGTAAACTGAAAGATTAAAAAAACCCAAATCAAATGGGGCTGTTCTAATGACATGAATATATGCGAGTTCAGTGAAGTGTGGACCATGGAGCACTTGTGGTGAGACGTGTACGAAGGAGGACCTTGTTGCACCAGTGGGAAGAGCCATCCCTTGCGCACGATTCTAGAAAAGCATCTAGTTTATGATGCGGACACAAGAAGAAGAATACCAAACTCTCCCCAAATCTCATCTATTAGAACAAATCAGTACAGTGCTATTTGCATGTATGACGCACCCAAGATTGACAAATCAGTCTTCAAAGTTGTATAGGAAAAATACTAAGGAAGGCCTTGGCATTTCATTTTGCTTCAAGGGGCTGAAGAAAATCGTGATGCTTGCAGCTGGACTCTGTAGAGATAAAGAAATGGATGACATGTCTGCACTTTTCTCTAGAGTCCCAAAGATTTGAGATGCACCTCCATTAAAAAAAAAAAAAAATCTAGCCATTTCAGGAAAAATGTTTATTATGTTAACAACCAAATAGCCCCAAATAATTCTCTAGTACAGGTTGTACAACTTAAACTGTATTTTACAAGAACTTTCTGTTGTTATGAGAACCTGTGGCTTGAATTTTTTTTTTTAAAAGTGCCGATTTTTACTGTACTCAATGGCCTACATTTTCCAACTGCTAAAAAGTCAACTTGTGATTTCAAAAAGATACCTAGCTGGTTTTGTCTTTGAAAACCCAAATCCAGCTGAGGGTCAGCTGCTTGCAGTGCAAGCATGTACAAGTGGGATGATGCTCCTTAAAAATGTTGCATTTATAGTTTCATAGGTTGTAGGGTCAGAAGGGACCTGAGCAGATCATCAAGTCTGACCCCCTGCCATTTTGGTGTTTGTTTTAGCAGAAAGAGATTGAATCGTCTGTTAGCAGAATGGCCTGAATAGTTTGGCACGGCATTTAAATACCCCCACCCCACACCCACACTTGGGGAGTGTCTTACAGAATTTGGCATTTAAAAGACTGGAGACTTTTTAAAATACAGTTAACATTTAAGATGGTATACATCTAAAGCTGTATTTTAACTCCACTGGCTCTTTGGGGCTTTGCTTGAAAAACCCTCGGAGAGCTTCTAAATATGGTGACAGTGTTTTTATACAAAACGTTTTTTTCCATTGATTGAAAAGAGTTTTAAAAACAAAACGAATACCACAGATGCATGTCAACAGTAGTGAACTTCAGAGCATGCTACACACAACTGCTAGCTCTTGTGCCAGGCCAAACGTTGCTCTCCTGAAAAGACCTAGGGCTTTTGGGACATAGCAGAAACTGTCATATCAGGTAACTTAGATGCGAGGGTGCACGGTCCCGCTTCCGCGCCGCAGCCGTGAGGCTGCTGGGGTTCCTTCCGCCCAGGCGAAGGCGGAGCAGAGGCCGGGCCTCCTCCCAGCGGCTGGGCGGGGCGGCGCTGCGCGGCTCTAGCTCCGCCCCGCCCGGCGCCATGCGGCTGCCGCGCTGCTTACTTGGAGCGGCCCGGGGGCAGGTGAGACGCCGGAGGGAGGGGGGTGGTTGTAGGTGTGTCCCGTGTGTGTAGGGGCAGGTGGCTGAGCCCACCCGGCCCCAGCCCCGGCCCCGCCGGCAGCCCTGCTTCTCGGGTTTGCTGCCGCCTCTCGGCGGTAACTGTCGGCCCGGGTGTCCGCCTCGCTCCCGTCTTGCTGGGACTGACTGCTTCCTTCCTTCATTATCCCGAGCATCGACTCACTGATCACGGCTGACGTTATACGTCCGCTGTTATTCCTTGTTAACATCTCATTAAATATTATTCGCGAATAATAGTGTTGTATTAACAAGGATTATTCGCGAGTCATTGTTTGCTGTTATTGATGTGTCCATTATTATTACGAATAACTTATTAACGCACTGTTTAGTGTGCTTCATTATTTCTTAATCGGTATTTGTAATTATTAATTTGTTAATGCTATTATTATGGGCGATTTATCGCTATCTTCATTATTCATTTGCTTCATTGTTTGTTAATTGGTATTCATAATTATTAACTTAGCTATTATGAATAACTTATTATTGCTATCTTCATTATTAGTTTGCTTCATTATTTGTTAATCAGTATTCATAGGCTGGAAGGGCCCCTGGAAGATCATTGGGTCCAGTTTGTTATTATTAGTTTGTTAATGTCATTATTATGAATGCTTTATCGCTATCTTCATCATTAGTTTGCTTCATTATTTATTAATCAGTATTCATAGGCTGGAAGGGGCCTTGAAAGATCATCTGGTCCAATTTGTTGTTATAAATTTGTTAATGTTGTTATTATGAACAGTTTATTGCTATCTTCATTATTAGTTTGCTTCATTATTTATTAATCAGTATGTGCTGTTATTAATTTTTTACTCTCGCTATTATGAATACCTTATCACTATCTTCATTATTAGTTTGCTTCAGTACTCATTAATCATTACTCATTATTAATTTGTTAATGTCCGTTATAACAAATTTCTTATTGCTGTCATCATTATTAGGTTGCCTATCATGAAAATTGATGTGAATCATCATTGTCATGAATATGCTAGTAGCACCATTAGTGATTGTCAGAATGATTCACTATTTATCATCATTGTTATGATTGGTTGATCATGCTTATTACTGATTTATTATTGCTGTTGTTATTATTGTTGTTGTTATGCCAGGCAACCCCCACAGACAGGGGGCCTGGGTGCTACCAGCCCTCCCGAGGGCCCCGTCTGGGTGGAGGCCTCAGAGGAGCCCTGGGTGGGAGGCATCACTGGGACAGGGTCCCTGGCTGCGTGCTGTGTCCTTACCATGATTGAAGGCTCCTCTTCTTCTGCTCTGACTTACCTTTTGCACCAATCCTACCCATGAAGTGGCCTGCAAACTGCTTCCCCTGTTGGCAGTCCCTGTTTGCTGGCTCCCTGGTCAGAGGCACCTCCTAACCTAATTTTCTCCTGCCACAGCTTGAGGCTGTTGCTCCTAGTCCTGTCCCCTGTAGCCACAAAGAAAAGCCTATCTCCTTTCAGGTATCTGAAGACTGTTATCAACTCTCCTCTTAGTCTTCTCTTCTCCCTAATTCTAGTAACCCTAGTTCTTTCAGCCATTCTTCATAAATGTTGGCTCCCAGGCCCCTGCACTGGGCTCTTTCTAAATTGTTAACATCCTTCTGGAATTGTAGGGCCCAAAACTGGACACAGTACTCCAGGTGAGGCTTCACCAGTGCTGAAGAGAGCAGAAGAATCACTTTTCTTGATTGGCCAGTGACACTCCTGCTAATACAATCTAGTATGCTGCTCATATTCAGCTGTTGGTTCATTGTAACCCCCAAGTCTTTTTCTGTAGCACTGCAGCTTAGTCCTTCCCCAGCCTGTATTTGTACATGCTGTTATTCCATCTCAAGTGCAAGACTTTGCACTTGTCCGTGTTGAATCTTATCTGATTGATTGCTGACCATTTCTCCAGTCTGTCCATGTCATTCCAGATCCTAGCTCTGCCCTCCAGAGTGTCTGCTGTTCCACCCAACTTGGTGTCATTTGCAAGTTGGCTGAGCGTGCACTTAGTGGCGTCATCCAAATCATTAATGAAGATATTAAGTAATACCAGACCTAGCACGGACCCTTGGGGACCCCCACTTGATGCCTTCTCCCGACTGGACATTGAGCTATTAAAAACTACTTGTTGAATAAGATGATCCAACGAGTTATGTATCCCCCTTACTGTCCTTTCATTTAGTCCAGGGGTCAGCAACAGTTTTGGGCAGAGTTCCAAAAACACCTGCAACCTTAGCTCGTAAAATGTTGGTGTGCCGGGGTGGATGGCAGCAGAGTTGTCAGGGGTCTGATCTTTGTTGTGGCAATGCAGCCCTGGCCCCTGAGGCACACGTGCCAAGCAAAATGCCTTTACCACACTGGCTTCTGTGCCAGGGGTTGCCTACCTCTGATTTAGTCTGTATTTTCTTACCTTGCTAATAAGAATGCTGTGGGAGACGGTGTCAGAATCCTGGCTGAATTGAAGGTATACCATGTTCACTGTTCTACCCTCATCGACAGAGCCTGTCACTTTATCAGGAAAAAAAAAGCAGGTTGGTCAGGCATGACTTGCTCTTGGTGAATCCGCAGTGGCTGTTCCTGATCACTGTAAAGTACCTAGGAGAGAACAAGGTGGATTCCTTGAGGACCTGCTCTATGTATCCAGGTATTGAGGTCTGGCTCACTGGTCTGTAGTCCCTTAGATCTTCCTTCCTTTTCTTGAAGATGATGATTACATTTCCTCCGTTCCAGTAATCAAGGACCTTACCTGACCTCCACGACCTCTCAGATTCCTTCAGTACCCCTGGGTGCATCCCATCTGGGCCTGCTAACCTGTTCTACCATTACTCTATTGTTGTTTGTCTCCTGTATCTCTGCTGCCACCTGCACTTGTCTGGTAGCTGCCGCCATTTTGTGAAAACAAGTAAAAAAGCCATTGAATACTTCATAGTCTGTAAGTAGTTCCTTCTGCGTTTCGTGAGGGACCTATGGAATCTCTGGTTTTCCTCTTGCTTTCTATATATGTAAAATCCCTTTTTATTGCTTTTTGTGCCCTTTGCCACCTGCATTTCAAATTGTGCCCTGGCCTGATTTTTTTTTCTCTGCACACATATGCAACACTCATATACTCTTCCCTAGCACGGTGACCACGTTTCCACTTTCTATAGGATTCCTTTTCGAGTTTCAACTCCTTGAAAAGATCTGTCTAGCTAGGCTGGTCTCCTCGTGTACTTCCCATTCTTCTGCCTCATTGTGATAGCTTGCTCCTGTACCCTTAAAAGGTTGGCCTTAAAGTACAGCCAACCCTCCATCTCCTTTTCCTGTAAGGCTTGCCTTCCAAGGGATCCTGCCGTCTGGGTCCCTGAGTTGTTTTGCTTTCCTGAAGGCCAGTGTCCTTATACTAGTGTTCTTCCTCCCTCTCCGTAGGATATTGAAATCTAGCATTTTGTTATTACTGTCACCCACATTACCAATCATCTTCACATTCTTAATCGATTCCGCCGTATTTGTGAGTCAAGAAGAGATTCCCCTTCCTTCTTGGTGTCTCTACCATCTGACTCAATAAGGTTTCCCCAACACACTGCAGGAACGTGCTGGACTGTTTGTGCACTACTGTGTTTGCCTCCCAGGAAATGTCCCAGTAGTTAAAGTCCCTCATGAGAACCAAGTCCTGTGATTTGGAAACTTCTGTCACTTGTTTAAAGAAGGCCTCACCCACCTAGTCCTCTTGGCTTGGAGGCCTGTGCTGTATGCCCACCATGACATCCCCTGCTTCTTCTCTTCCCTCTGACCCAGATGATTGATAATAGGTATAAAACTTTTAATACAAAGACAGCATACGTAACTTTTTTCCTTCCCATTCCCCATCCAGACTGGTCCAGTTGCTTGGACAAAGACAAATACCACCCATTCCTTATAACTGAATGAGTGCATTTTTATTTTTTGTGACAAAATTTCAGGACACCTGCACTTAGTTATTCCTTGAGTACTTAATATATATTTCTACCCTGGAAGGTGACTTTGTTAAAGATCCCATTGTGGAGTTCTGCTTGCAGTGATTTTATTCAAAGTCAGAAGTGGTTTATGTTCCTACGTGCTAGACCTGCAAATCCATGCTGTGTTCTGAGGTTGCCTTTTATAGCAAGGGAATCCCTCTGCTTTTTTTCAGCCACAGTATAGTTATCCAGTTGCTTGAAAACAAGTAACATGCTTTCCAATTTAATGATGCAGTCTGAAAGTCAAACTCTGTTTTTTTTGTACCATTACTAGTGTTCAGTACTGCTGACCTAAATTTGCCATTAGCTATACCTGTGTTGCCCTCATAGGTTCTTATTATGCTTTCAGTGACACCGGTGCAGCCCCCGTTGGCCTTCTCTGTTAAAAACAGCATCTACAAAACTTGCTCATAATGATTCTAAGGTCCTGTCAGTTTTACTGCTGAAAGGTGACCTACAAAGTATGTGAGAAGGAAGGTGGGAAGAACAGGGTCAGTGTTCTTTTTTCTTTCCTTTAAGAAACAACCAAAAAAAAGGACACAATCAACATTTTCCTTTTGAAGGTCTCTTTTAAAAACTTAATTTGGTACAGAAGCTAAAGTATCTGATGTGACACTGGTTTTCTTTCAGAGAAGGAGATGCTAGGAATTCCCTTTAGGTAACAGTGAAAACATAAAACTATTGAATGAATTCAGCTCGTCTTTGCTCTTAGATTGAATTTGCTACTGTAACCCTTTATAGCTGTACTCCAAATCCAAGAATACAAATGAATTTCTATTTCCTAGGTACATCATAGGCCATAGGGTGTCTCTTGCCAGGGGTGATGGTTTTCTGGAAACATAATTCCCATAATCATGCTTTGCTTATTTTGCTTCTGGTATTCTGGGGCCCAAGGAGCCACTTTATTTGCTTGGCATCTGGGAGGAAGGCATGTCATAAGAATGCAGTTTGGATGACTTGTTCACCGGTGGAAGAAGAGTATGCATTTACTCTTCTTATTTTATTAATGGCACTAAAACAACTATTGCTGGTCCCATAAACATGCATAATGTGCTCCAGAAAATGAAAAGTGGGGATCCTAACATCACTGTTAATATGTACAAACGAGTTTTTGTATCAGTCTACCAAGATCTTTGACTAATGGTTTTTACTGACGCACTTTTTTCCCCTTCTCTCCCTCCTCTTAAGCTGGAAAATAAATCCAAAGGAAAGCCTCGAAAGCAGATATGCCAAGTTGTTCTGCATCATTTTGAAGAGCAGTACACAAAGGAATTGGGAGATACGTGGATCAAAATCAGGTCACTTTTTAAATATGATTTTCAATACTTCCTAAAATAGTTATAATGAGAGACGTGTAGAATGCAAATAAACATAAACAAGAACCTTAATTTTCATTTTAAAACTAGTATAGCACCATGGAACGATAGATGAGTTAATGCCAGAAAATTAACTAGAATGTAATGTAAGCAGTCTGTATTTAGAGATTTGATGAATCTAGCTTGAAAGTATTTAGTTTTTCACTAGCTTCAGTTCTGCATTATTCAAATTGTGGCCACTGCAGTGCCATTTTTACTTTCAGCGCTTTACTTAAGACATTTATGCTACAGCCCTATAAAGCTGCATAGGGAGAGACAAGAAAGAGATGGGACAAAATGCATCGGACTGGTTTTTGTTGGAAGAAGCTGAATTTGCATAAATAAATAGCTTGTTATGCCAAACATTTGCACTGATTCAATTTAATATTTTTTGATCCAGTTTAGCTGAACTAGCACAAACCCTCATGTGGTCATGTTAGTTTGTTTATTTTCATTGACAATTTAGTTCATTTTAGTTGATATAGAGCAGATTAGGAATTGGTTTAAAATAAACCAAATTATGCATCTCCAAATAGGTGTGTTTTGGTTGAGACCTGATTTACTGGTATTAAAACTAGTGTAGGTTTCTCATGTGGGCAAGATCCGAATCATTTATATGGCAATTGTTGAGAAGTACTGCAGATGCTATCAAAAAGGGCATCTAAGGGTGTTTAGATTTGTGCAAATAATGCTAGCCATTTGCCAGATCCTACTGATATTGATGTTAGTGTACCTGCTAATTCATATGAGAAAAGCCTAGTCACAAACCATTAAGACTTCTTAACTCAAAGTACATTGCCTCTAATAACAACCTTGAAATAAACAGGACCAAGTTGTTTTCAGGCCTGCAAATAGCGAAGCACTGACTGTATTTGTTATGGTCTAATAGGATTAACTGCTCAACCTGCATAGTGGGCAATTTTCTGATTCCCAAACGAACTCACTGTATGTAGCTCAGCAGTGAAGTGAACTAGGTCCAAAAGAATGGCTGCTGTGAGAAGCAGAAAGAGAGAATGAAGAAAATGAAAAAAAGAAACAAGTGTTTTGCAGGTGTGTAAAAGGTGACAGAGAAAATTTCTCATCCGTCTCAGACAAGTAATTTTCTTTCTGAAAAGCCTATTTCATTATTTTCCACGCATGAATGTTCAGGAAAGATCGAAACAATTCAGTGTGCATGGAGAGATGCCAGGGTGACATGACTTCAAAGCATGGGCTTCTCTACTTCTATGGGTCTGAATACTTGTCCCATTTGACGCATGTCCTAAAACAAACCCTGCTTTACTATTTTTAATTAATAATTACTTTGTTGGTTTATTTAGGAGAGTGACTTGATGAAAGAGTAATATCCATTTAATTAGTTCTTACAGTACTTGCCAAGAGAGTTTTAGTGGTAGCAGAAAAGGACAGAGATACTTGAGGTTCCTGTTTTGGTTTTTCTTCTATACGTATGCTAGACTTCGGATGAGAAACTGAAAAATAAAAAACTTGCCTGAGGAGCTTAAGATAAAAGCTGAATACCCTCTCCTTAACTCATTTAAGTGTATAAGGAAACCACAGAAAGTGATGTGAATAGAAAAATGTTAGTTGTAGCCTTCAGTAGCTTGGCTTCATCAGCTTGTGTTGTCCGGACCGTCGAGAGAAACTTCTAAGATGGAAAAAAAACATTAAAAGGGAATATTTCTAAGAATAGCTGTTACAGTTTTTTATTCTGTGATCAAAGAAAAATATACCAAGCAAATGTTTATCTTATATAACACTTGGCTACAAGTAGAGAAAGAAATATTTATTTTACTCTCTCTTCTTGATTTGCTTCCTTTGGTCCACTCTACACATGCAGGTAAAGGCGCGATTAGATACCACATGTGCATGGCAGGAGGTGGAATTGTGGGATTGCACATTAGATCCAATCATGTCTTATTGTTGATGTAGAGGGAGACTGATCCTGGGCTAGTCCTGCATCAGCAAGAAGCAGATTCCAATGGCTGGAGTGTGGAGCCCTCGGCTCCCGCAACCGTGGGCTGCTTTTGTCTTCTTCAGCCATGTGTATACATGTGTATACATAAGCTATATATAGATAGATACAAAATTGTGTAGATGTATGTTCAGCCATATATATAGCTTAACATATTTGGATTGTTAGAAATTTTACATTTTAGTATGCTGTAAAATGGTGAAATATATATTTCTTATTCACTAACTTTTTGCTCATGTTTGTATTAAGCTACATTAAGGTGGCAACTTGAATTTAATTAAACGCTCAAAAGCAGCACTTCAAACTTATTAAACAAAATAATATTTTGGATATCAAAGCTTTTTTTTTTAAATCAAAACATGGTGCTCATTTACAACTAACTAATTTATTAAACACTAGTATCAACTGTTACAGTATTAGAAGTATGAACTGTGGTTAGTGAATTAAACCAATTATTTCAAGGTCATCACGGGGAAAATTTTCTAAAATGCCTAGGTGAAAGTCATTTGAGGTTAAGTGCCTGCCTACCTAATTCCCTTTATAATGAGACAGTCATTTTCATTTTTGTTTACCTAGGCTGTTTTGAAAATGTTTACCGCCTTTCTTTCAAGTATTTGGAACTCATAAATATAATCTTTCTCCCCCTTTTTATTCACAGACTGGAAAATAAAAACAAGCTTTTCTGCTTTTTCAACTTCTAATCAATTTCTCAGCTCTGAGTAAACCAGTCCAAATGAAGAAAATATTTTGTTTGCACTTGCAGAAAAGGCTACTGTGGGTAAAAGCTAGTTTAGCACTACAACAGATTCTAGTTCCTGGTGCTTTACTAGTGACTTTCAGCAGTTCAGTGGTATGACTTTTTCTTTAAAACATCCTCAGCAAACATGTACTGCTTGAATGGTTCTTCTCTAGCCCTGAAATTTATAATGTTTGGTATGATTGCTGGGTGATTAGTAGATGTCCATGTCATATCAGCATTTGCAGCATTTTCTTCTTCAGCAGGTAGGCATCTACCCTGGTACATTGTGTTAGAAATACTGGCAAGAAAATGAAGTGGAGTAAGTGTTTGGTCCATCTGCCTCTTTATTGCATGCAGTTTAGCTTTGCTGTTAGGTATTTCTTGAAGTGTTTTCCAAATTTCAGCAGCATCCACAATACATTAGCAGTCTTTCTGTAATTTGTCCAAGGCTGTGGAAATAGGCCTTAGTATATTCAGGATATCTTCTGCATTTCTCTTTAGTCTAGTGTTAACTGAGCTAGCTGTGATACATCCGTCAATTTTGTCACAGTTTTCACAGATGGTCATCAAAATAGACCAGTTCTTAATAGCTTGAATCAGCCAACCACTGAATTCCATTGTACATCCTGGCGGAGAATTAGCTTGGATGCCCCAGCTCTCTTCAGTGAAGCTGAAGTAAACTGGTGGTTGTTATGGAAGTACTTTGCAATTTTAACATTTTCCTTTATTTCTGGAGTACTTAAACCTTTGGCAAAAAGATTCATCAAATGAGCATTGCACCCGTATGCTAATAAGTTTCAGGTTTGCTTCATTATCTTCTAAGTTTCTTTTTTCATCTGTGACAAGACTACGCGCACAATGCTTGAATTTTTGTTCACGGTTTGTTATGTAGCTTTTACTGCTACTTCTTTTAAATACTTGGCAATATGGACATTTTCCTGTTCTATCCATTGTTTCTGTGAAAAAAAAAACAATTATGTCTTCTGTTGTCACACAAGCACATATTACTGGATCATTGTGTACACTGCTTTATCCATCAAGACTCAAATGAATACTTTTTCCTTTTATGTTTTTTTCCCCACTGTTCAATTTCTCTGTCATACACTGGATCCAAAAGCCTTCAGCAATATCTGTTCTGCTGGGTGGAGTGTAACCTGGTCATAATGATTGAACCATGTCAGTGAAGTGTTTGTTGTGAACAAGATGAAAGGGAGAATTTGTTGCATAAATGAATAGTGATCTTCTCATTTATGTTGCCTTGCTGGACTTTGCTGGTCCTGATTATGAATTCATCCATAGTTTTACTTGATAATGAAGAAGATCTCTTTTGGAAACAAGTAATTCACTGTCTGAGGCATAACTAGTTTCAGTACTGCTGGTGGTACCAGTATATGATTCTGAAGTTGCAGACATTTGCAGATGATTGATGTTCACAATTTCTTACATCTAAGCTGGACCCTGGAAGAAAATGGTTGAAAAGTCACTTGTGCGTTACTTAAAATGCACTCAGTGGATTACATAAAATATGGCTGCAAATGAAAGGTCCCTCGTACAGCAGATATTTTTAACCAGTGTTTAAATTATATAATTTTTCCAAACCCAGTTCTACAGGAAAACTATTAAACTTATGAAGGTTATCTTCTTTTTAAACACTTTTTTTTTTAATCAATACAAAACTGTAGGGAAAAATGTTTACATTTTTATTTAAAATGTATACATGCATATTAAAACTTTATTTCTCACAGGATTGCTTTACCTAGGACTTGTATATTTGTTTACACTGAACAATAAAAGTCATTTCAGGAGTGCAGGTATAACATTAAAAATGTATAATTGACAAATACTCCCACAAGCTAGCACATCCACTCGATTTATAATAAACATTTTAAAATTCATATTATTTATTAGTATTGTAACGTATGGTAAGCAATCCATAAGAATGGTTTCAAAATACTAAGTTCAATAACCAGTTGATCCAGGTGGCTCAGACACATTCACACCATCTTTAAACTCATTGCCTTCTGAGAAGCATTTTTCATGATGTTGCTTCATTCAGGCTACCAGGCCTTGCATATCTTTGTTGCACTGTTTGTTTGGCATGTGGTCCTCCTTTGCCCCGTGATGCAGGAATTTCTTGAAGGTATTCCTAAATAGGGTCTTTTTTGCAAGCTACAGCTATGGCAATATTTTCTTCCATTTTCCAGGTGTTGAAATCATATTGCTTTACATTCCACAGAATATTGTTCCTTTCTGTCTTGAGCCCAGTGTTGGCCCTTTCTGTTATACACACTGGGTGTATCTACATGAGACACTAGCTGCGCAATAGTCCAATAACATTGCATAGTGAAGAACTTTTTTTGTTAACCTGACAGGATAGTAAAATACAATTCCAGTATCTTTTTCTAATACGGTGCAGATAGGACCCAACTTATGATGTGCTACTGTTGAAAAGTGTTTGAGGATAAGTCCTGGGCTGATTACCAAGTGCTTTATTCTTAAACACTGTTCTGATACCTTTTTGTTCCTCTCCTCGATGCTTAGTCAAAACCTTGAAAACAACAAAGAAGAAACACTGTGCATGTGTTAACAGATGTAGAAGATGATGGGGGACCCAAGAAAGAAACAGACTTTTGAACATAGTTTAATCTTCAGTACTGAAAATCTCTCTGTTTTAAACTTTTTTTTTTCTTTAAAAGCTTTTAAAAGGAAGGTTGTAATTGATACTGGTTTTAAATATGCTTGCTTGGAAGCACTTGTATCTGCTGTTAAATGTGCTTCTGGTGCAGAAACACTTCATAGTCTTTCTGGATCAGTTTCTCTGTGTGAATCAGGATAGTCAATTCTGCAGTCTAAATTCTCCCAAAATACATGCGTTTAGAAGGCCTAATTTTTAAAAAGAAAGTCTAGAGGTGAAGTCAGCAAACAGTATTTTTCCAAAAGGAAAAACACACTTATTTAAAAAAGGGTATTTTAAATCCTAATTAGTATTTTGATCCTAAGCAGAGACCTTTTACTCTCTGACAAGATTTGGTTGGAATAAAATAGCTTTTTATTTCTAATAGTCACCTATAAAGGAAAGTTTGTGTAACAAAAAGATTATTAATTCGGGAAATGTTGGTTTGAAAGAACCGAGTGAAAGGTTAATTTTGAATTAGATTGGATAGGTTGTTTAAAGAAAATTCATGCAACTTCTGCGTGGTTGCAGCAGGTAACCTTTGGAAAATGTTGATGTAGTAGAAAGTAAAGCTACATATTTTCCTGGTGGAAAGTTAAAGGAGATGATACTCTAAGGACCTTGTGATAGAATGAGCACTACACCAGGGGCCAGGAATTGCTGCATTCTTGTATAGAAAAATGATTATGGAAAATCAAGTACTCTTACTTAGCCTTTCCTCTTGAAGCAAGAAAAAAAGAAAGGATGTCTTACGACATTGAAAAGTAATGCATTTAAAATTAGAGGAGGCTATAGTTTGTGGCACAGTATATAATTAAGCTGTGTAAGCAGACTATACCTCTAGAATGCACTTAATGCTGTGATTAATATGTGCAAAAAATCCTAGCTGTTTGCTCTTGGTTCTTTTTTATTCTTTGAAATGAGAAGTGTATCATGTTACAGAATTAATTTTGCCTCCCACTGTATCAAATATATATATTTTTTAATTCTCTAGGGACGTGGTCACATCACCACTGTTCTGGCAATATGGTGTCCTACTGAATAAATTCAGCTATTCCTCAGAGCTGGAGAACAACTTGCATCTGAAGGGGTATTATAATCTCTTTCAAAAAACCTTGCCTCATCTTAAGGGATCATTGAAATGTTACATCAGTAGAATTCCTGGGAGATTCCCTGCACAAAAGCACCAGATTGGTAAACTGAAGGAATATTATCTGTTGAATGCTGCTTCACTCCTGCCAGTGCTGGCACTGGACATAAAGGATGGGGAAGAGGTTCTGGATATGTGTGCTGCTCCTGGGGGTAAATCAATAGCTATGCTACAGTGTGCCTATCCAGGTAATGTATAATATCAATATGCCAGTTAGAATTAGGAAAAAGAGAGAGAGGGTAAAATGCTACCTGTATTTATTCAGGTCAGTAAAAGCATGTGCTTGCATCCAATAGGGAACTAGGCTTCAGTTAAAACAACCCCCCCCCCCAGTTTTGTGGAGCCATTTTAGCCCAGAAAGGAAGAAAACCAGAAGATATTAAAATGTAAATTTACCTGCAGGTTACTGAAGACTGAAAAAGACAGGTGCTTTTTCTTGCTCTCTAGAATGCATTCACTGTGTTATATGCTGCTACCAAGCATACCACTTCAGCTATAAATTATTTGCAGGCTTCTTGACACAAGAAAGCAAATATTCTATGGGCTTCAAATATTTTTCCATCTCTGTGCTAATGTGGAACTTTAATTGCACTGGGTTGGCTGGATAGTGAAGCAATCTGTGTGAGGGTGAAAAACCGATCCAAACTCATTAGGTAGCAGGAGAATCTTGAGAGCATGATTTAGGATTGTTCTGTACCTCATCTGTAAGTGGAACAGACTTTGGTTAATGGAAACGTAGAAAAATCAAGAAGAATTTTTCACTGAAAGATAGTGTGTGCTAGCATGTACCTATGTTATATGACCAAGCTCATAGGTGTCTGTGGATGGTATAAGAGACTAGAAGAGAGAAAAATGATTGGGAGCACTGAGTTGCTAGTGGCAAAGGCAAGAGGAAAATATGACCTGATAGAACAAGTCAGGGATGTATTGCTAGTAGGAATGAAAAGGATAAATGTGTTCATGCTAATACAATAGCTTGAAACCTCCAGCAGATGAAGAGTTGAAATGCTTACAAACACAAAATGAAAACAAAGTTTATAATCATTTAAAAGGATATATGCATCCTGTACATGACAATAGAAATAACTTGGAAAAATTCTTTCATAGCACTGAACTTTGAATGTGGGTTATCTTTTCAGGTTTGATTTAGTGTGATAGTCTTAGGCTACTTTAGTTATTTAGTACTAAATGTTTGTGAAGCACCTTTTAGGAGCATGTTGAGATTTACTAGGACTTATAAAAATTCAGCAGTTATAGAATGCATAAGATAAGCCCAGTTAAAGTATTAACATTTCTGTACTTATGTCTTATATTTGTAAAGTTTATAAATAATTGATTTTTAGATCATTTGTGTTTAGGTCATTTTCACTGTAATGAGTATGATATTTTGAGATCAAGGTGGTTGAAACAGACACTAGAATCCTTCATCCCCGAATCCTTGCTGAATATAATTACTGTCTCTGAATTGGATGGGAGACAGATTGGAGATCTCCATCCTGAATCGTATGATAAGGTAACAAGCAGATTGAATCCAGTGATGATATTTCTGTGCTCCTCTCCTTTCCTTTTCTATTTTTCCCTAACATGCATTATAACTGTTTGTCCATGTCCTATAAAAAGGCAGTTAAAACTAGTTACTTTTTCCACAGGTTCTGAACTAGTTGTCATGAGGAAAGAGACCTTCGAATCATTGTAGACAGTTCTCTAAAAAATCAGCTCAGTGTGCAACAGTGACCGAAATAGCCAATAAAATGTTGGGATCATTTTGAAGGGAATTGAAAATAAAACAGAGAACATCACTGTACCACTATACAAATCCCTGATCCACCCATATATTGAGTATTGTGCATCTCTGCCTCTCAACAAAGGATGTGGTAGAATTAGAAAAGATAGAAGGACAACCAAAATAATCTTGGGGTATGAAGCACCTGTCATACCAGGAGAGACTAAAACGGCTAGGACCCTTAAGAAAGGAGAAGTTTGAGGGGCAATATGATAAGAGGCATATAAAATCATGAAGGATGTGGATAGAGTGAATAGAGAACCAAGTTATTAACCAAGTCCTAGAATACCAGAATTAGGGGGCACCCACTGAAATTGGCACAAGACGGGTTTAAAACTAACAAGAGAAATTACTTTTTACTCAGTGCCCAGTTAACTTGTAAAGGCATAGACAGAGGAGGTGGTAGACACAGATCGTATGGCAAGGTTCACAAAGACTCTAGACAGACTCATGGACAATAGATCTATTAATAGCTATCCAACAGAACAGTTTCAGATGTATCCTCTGGCATCTCTAAACCAACAATGGTGGATGCCAGGGTGGGTAATGAGCAGGATATAGATTACTCTAGATCAGGGGTGTGCCTGTGGTAGACTGCATGTCCCAGCAGCTCCTGCAGTGGTGGCTCCTTCTGACTCCTGCTGGACCCAGCCCAACTGCCCAGGCACCCCAGCCTGTCCTCCCTGCACCTGCCACCGGGAGTGGGACCTGTGCGGGCAAGGCAGCTGGGATGGGGCCATCGCCAGGACCGAGAGGGGCAAGTGGAGCCAGGCAAACCCCAGGATGTCGGGGCGGTGACAGCATGGGACTGGGATTGGGGCAGAGCTGTCATCCCCCGTCCGCACACCCTGTGACGTGTGGGTTCTGTGAGCAGGGGCGTGAAGGGAGTGGATCACAGCTCTGCCCCAGCTCCACCCTGTACTGTCACTGCTGCAAGATCCCGGACCTGGAGCTGTTTTGTGCTAAGCCACCCACCCTGCCCATATGGCTTCCAGCCGGCTTCCGTGGAGACCCTGGGATGGCAGGGCTGTGACAGCATGGGGCTGGGGCCGAGCCCCAGTTCTGCAGCCCAGCACTGTCACAGCCCTGTGCTTTGGGGTCTCCTTGGAAATGCTGGGAAATGGAGTCTGGCTGCCTGCTGCATCTGCCATTTTGCCCACCCCTGCTCCACTTATACCTGCTTCGATGCTTTCCCTCTTAACACCCATTCTTGCCACTGTTGGAGGCAGGATGCTGGGCCAGGACCATTGACCTGACCCAGTATTACACATAGCTTTTTGCATCCAGGGAGAAGACACAAGAGTTCTGGCCATGTTATCTACATACCTTAAACTGAACCAAGGAAACTCTGGGTACCTGTGTCTATGTTCACATGTTAAATGATGTCACACATAGCCCTTTGCTGTTGAGTTGTGGAGAGCACACAGTGGTTACCATTCTGTTTCTGTAACATGTAAATAGGTGAATAAGAGGCAGGGGGCCAGGTGGGATGTGTTCTGCTCAATGATCATGGAACAGTAATTAATGTGTAGTTTTCTAAAAAACGTACATGTCAGTAGCCCAAATTAATTGATCTTTTTGCTTCTAAAAAAAAAATAAACCCACTTCACATTTTTGCTGAAATTACATTTATGTGCCGTTCTGCATAGGATATAAAAAAAGTAAGTTAGCTTCATTACATCTTGTGTTCTTCTCTGTTTTACTTGTTGGCTACACAGATATTGGTTGATGCCCCCTGCTCAGATGACAGAAATTGGTTGTTTTCATCGGATGTACATCAGGCAAGGCTTAGACTAATTCAGAGGAAGGTGTCATCTGCTGTACAGATACAGCTGCTAAGGTGAGAAATGCACAGGATTAATTTAAATGAAATTGTGGCAAGCCGTGTCATTGCAGCTTCTCATAATACTTGAGTTTCAACTGCAGAAAGATCCAGAGCAGCCTATTACAATACAAAAATGCATACGAAGGGAGTATTTAAAAAAATTCCTTCTGATTACTTTCTCATTTTTTTTCTGGTTTAAGGGTAGTATTGATTCTACCACTGTTCCCTATTAAGTGAAGTTTTAAATCCCACTTCCCTATTGTCTTTTAAAAGCTTTTTAAAAAGTGGTCTCTAAGTCCTGTCAAATACAGGCTTTTACCATGCCTTATCCTTTTTTTACTTTGAAGCAGAAATATTATTTGCAGTTCATAGTTTAAAGCTATGTGTTCACAAAGCTGTCCATCAGGGTTGGTCATCAGGCTTAAGGTAACGTGGCATGAGATCTTAACTTGTGTTGCCTCACTGCTTATGTGAACTGTTTCCAGGAAGAATTTAACGAACTCTTAGTAGGTTAGCCCATGTGTTCATGGGTTTTCAGGATCAGATCATTAGTTTTTAATTTCACTGCTCTGCTACTGACTGCTGTTAAAACTTTGCGATCTTCAAAGCTGAACAGCTGTTAATAACAGGTTTAGCAAAAAATAAACATTAAGTTGTCGCAACACATTTGCAGTTTAATACAAATGAAACTGCTAATACCTGAAATGCTCTCGTTATCCATGAAACAACCATTGAAATCCCTATGATACCTTGCAGATCTGGTTTGAGTATATTTTGTTGGGATGGGTTAAAAAAAGAGTACTCCTTGAGGTGTATTACTTGAATGGCTGTTTAGTTTTTGCCATCGGCCACACAAAAATTCTTATCCCCCATTACCATTGTCTAGGTTACCCTTGACAAAGCTGTTGCCATTACATATTTTTTCACAAAACCATTTTTAAAAGATAAACTGCCAAAAAAATTAAATAATACAGTATGATGTGAAAAATGGAGATGTTTTGGGAGCTAGATTTAAAAGATATTTTTCTTTTAAAAATACTTTCTATAGCAATCTATTGTTTCATAGTTATTGATCAAGTACTAAACTTTTAAATGTAGTGCAATGTTTCACCTCAGAAGTATATAGCTGTCAAAGCAAATTGAGAGAG